AACTCAGGAAAAGTTTACAGTGCTTTGTTTACAGTGAATAAATGATGCCATTTTACAAGGGGAACCTGGAACACCTGAGGGGGGAGAAAGACAAGTTGAGTCCAGGGAATCAGCAGCATAGATTTGAGTTTCAGTTTCAAGTACTCTTACTGGAAACAGGGAGACCGACACACTGAGAAGAGAGCAGTGATTTCCAGGTAGAGGCAAGTTGTTGGGCAGGTAGTGGAATGGCAGCCGACAGTAGATATCGATCCTTAGTAGGCACGAGGAGATAGATGAGAGATCCAGGGCAGGACTTGGAAATCAGGCACTAGGAGCACTAGGAACACAAGGCAAAAACAAGGTAAGCAATAGTTTACTTTATCAATACAATGTTTGGCTGCAAGCAACTACCAAGAGTTATGCAATACTCAAGCAATGAAGGAGGCTCTCCTGCAGTCCTTTATACCCCTGAAGCTCATTAGGGAGATTATCCACAGCTGCTGCTCATTGGTGCCGCCCAGGAACCAGGAAGCTGTGGAAAAAACTTAATCTCTACATAACCAAAGATAAAACATCATATTCATGTATATATTTTTGCAAATAAACCTAACAGGAATGTATTGGTATTTTTACATTTAAACTTTTTCAACAGTATATAAAACGATGGAGAAAATAATAAAAGTGAAATGTGTGAAAATTTAGAAACTCAATATCAGTTTTTTTATGGATCCATCCAATCTAGCACATCATCTTTAACAACAAAATGAATGAAAAAAGACCTTCTGATTTATTTACATGCTGCTGCGGCCTGGTCCTGGACTGGTTGTTTCAGTGCAGCAAAGCCAGCAGAGCAGTAAATCAAACTCATGATGGGACTTCATCAAACACTTGCCTCTTATAAGGATTGGAGGCATCAATTTTCCTGATCACTTAGTGCACTCCCTGAAGCTTTAAAAACATTATGCTGGGTTGATAAAAAATGTCTCTCTGATTTTGACACTATTAAACTTATCCAAATGAGAAAAAAAAAATGGTGCTATGACCCAAAGTAAACAAGTCTGTAACCTATTCTGGTACCTGGAAAACAATGTTCTAAGTCAAACTGGTCTTAATTAAAAATAAATACTCAATGTGTTTCAATGGGCAGCTTGGGACATATACACAAAGTAATAGGATTTTGAAAGTTTGTAAGACAAACAATGGATACACTAACTTATATTAAGCAGTAAAACACCTACAAAAATAATGCATTAATACAGAAGAGGAAAAAGAATATAAAATATTACTGGAGGGAGCAAAGCTAATGGAAAGACCAGAATGTCAAAATAAGGTGCTAATTATCGTCTCTCTCATGGAGGAGCTGGTAAAGTATTTTTAGTGTTAAAGTTTAGGGACAAATTCCAGTCATTCTAGTTAGGGTCGGCTTAGGTTTCCTGAGCTGTCCCTTAGTTATGCTGCTATAGGCTTAGGCTGCTGGAGGACAAATTGACCACACTTTTCACTCGGCTACTGTCTTTACTTACTCTGCTCAACCTGTTTTGTATTTGTAATTTTTTTTCTATCATTAACATGTGTTTTTTTAACTTTCAGATACACCTGGACCTATACCTGGACCTACCATTCTGTGTTCGTCTGTCTCTCCTTCCTGTCCTCTCAACCAGCCGGTCAAAGCAGATGGCCGCTTGTCCTGAGCCTGGTTCTGCTGGAGGTTTCTTCCTTTTTAAAGGGAGTTTTTCCTTTCCACTGTTGCCACTGTGCTTGCTCAGGATGGGAGACTGCAACAAAGCCAAGATTCAACTTGTCTGCTGGATTCCTTAGATAGAGAACTTTACTAATTGGCTTTTATGTGAATGTTCCTGTAAAGTGCCGTGAGACAACTTTGTTGTGACGCTATATAAATAAACTGAATTGAATTGAATTGAATTGTATATAATTTCTGCACTTGTGTACTAAGGTTGAACTTTCAGGTTGTTTATGAAACATATTTGTGTGGAGCTGCAGTGTAGGGACGACACAGAGATGGATTCTAATTTAAAATATTTATTTGTTTGGTGAAAACTAGTGATTTGCCTTACTCAGTCTTAATTTTCTTCATTTCATACTTAGCTAAAGGCTAAAAGCATCTTACCTATAGGATTTAGCAAAAGGGAATACTTAAGCCTAGTTTTAAAACTGGATAATGTGTCAGCCTCACGGACAGAGATTGGAAGTTGGTTCCACAACAGAGGAGCCTGATAACTGAAGGATCTGCCTCCCATTCTGTTTTTTGTAAATTCTAGGAACCACAAGTAAACCTGCAGTCTGAGAGCGAAGTGCTCTGTTGGGAAAATATGGAACAATAAGATCTGTAATATAAGATGGAGCCAGGTTGTTGAGAGCTTTGTAGGTTAGTAGTAAAATTTTGAATTCTATTCTGGATTTGACAGGGAGCCATTGGAGAGAAACTAAAACTGGAGAGATATGATATCTCCAACTGACTCCGGTTAAGACTCTGGCAGCAGCATTTTGGATCAACTGAAGACATTTTAAGAAAGTATTTGGACACCCAGATAATAAACCATTGCAATAGTCCAGTCTAGATGTGACAAATGCATGGACCAGTTTTTCTGCATCATTTTTAGATAAGATGTTTCTAATTTTAGCGATATTGCGCAGGTGGAAGAAAGCAGTTCTGGTAACATTTTTAATGTGGGGGATAAAAGACATGTCCTGATCAAAAATAACACCAAGATTTTTAACATTAGAGCTGGAGGAGCTGGAGATTAATGCCATCTAAGGAGGGAGAAAGACTGAAAAATTCATTCCTAAGGTGCTCAGGTCCAAAAACTGAAACCTCAGTCTTGTCTGTGTTCAACAGGAGAAAATTAAGAGTCATCCAGGTTTTTATACCTAATAATAATAATAATGTGTATGTATTGTCATCATTGTATGTTCCCATATAATGGTGAAATTGGCTGTCTGCATTTAACTCATCCACCACCAGGTGGAGCAGTGGGTGGCTGTTGGTAGCTACAGGGGAGCAACTGGGGATGGGGTGTCCTCCTCAGAAACACCACAAGATGTGCAATGACTGTGAATTGAACCCAGGACCTTCAGATCCCAGTTCTGTGGCCCTGCCTCTACACCATCTCAGCACCCTAATGGCATTACCAACATTACTACACTTTTTAAACAATCCTTTCTCAAATTAAGTGAATTTACCAGCAGTGACATGCCATTTGCTCCATACAGCAAACTACTTCCAGAAAGATCTATCCTCACAGTCCTGCACAGAACCACTTATCCCACTAAAACAGCAAATTTTAGCCAATGTTGAGGTTCTCTTACTTCCGATTTTGCTTTGCGTTACTTCCTTTTACAGGCCTAAAACCAGGGAACACCCAAATAAAAACAGTGACAACTGGAGGTCACTGTATAAAGAATATTTTCAACTTTGTAACAAGCATTTTTGGAGATAAGATAGGACTAAAAGCCTCTAAGTGTTTTAAATAAAGATGAATTAATCATTATCATTATTTATATTAAATGGCATAATGTCATAATATTTTACAGCATTAAACATTGTCAGATTGACTGTAAGGCCACCCCTGAAAGGATGGCATTTGCACGTAGAATTTTTTTTGTACAGTGTGTCAGATTTATGGTTGTTGTGTAATGAAGTCAAAGTTTACAGTGTAGGCTGTAAAGATTTTAAGCATGCAGTAAGACTGGCATGTGGTTAAAAAAAAAACTTTTGGTGGGGGTGGGTATGCTATACGCTGCATGTTAGTAAACGGGTAATATTTGTTTTGCTAACATTTATAATAAAACAGCTAAAATGTTTGCATGCTGATACATTTTGGTAATGTATGCCATTTAATGTAAGAATACTTTTGCTTTTTGTGCATTTGAGGGGTGGTATTCAAGTGTTCGTATTGCATTTATAAATTGTCTGCTGTAGGTAGGTAATTTCATTTTTATGCTAAAATAACTATTGATTAACATAATCGTGATCAGATTATAGTTGTTCATAAATCATAAACACCAACAAGCTGCTTGACATTTGACAGGACTCCAAATAGGACAGAATAATGTGAGACATGTTTTATTTATGTCTCTGTGTGTCTCTTGTTATGTCTCTGTAATTTTCTTAAAATAAAACAGACAAGATGTCTGAATACAGTACCAGACAATGTGACTTAAGAAAGAAGATAAAAGCTGCCTTAAACGTTTATTTAAACGTAGGTCTCATCCTTTGTAAGACTCATTTAAGCATGAAATGACATTATAGGACGATTGGTCACTTACTGCATAATAAACAAACCCTCAGTCTTGAGGTCCCAAATAACTCACTTTGTCCTGGATCTCAAACTATAACTAATAAATATGATCTTAATTATTTCCACTCCAGTTAATCAAATCAATACTGGCCATCCAGAAACTCCCTAATTTGTTAATTAAAGTTGGCATGATAATTATTACGAAGCCCTAATCATCAAGAATTGATTTTTTGAGGAAAAAGTGAAACTCTGTCTGAATTTATAAATGCATCTGGTAAGCACGAGGACGTGATTCCTGCATGTTTCTGTTGGTTTACTTCAACATTCATTCAGTGCAGATTATGTACACATGCAAACTGCTATTTTCTCACATTGGCATTACTTAATAAGATATTCTTGCCCACTGTCATTGTGACAAAAGTTACATAATTTTTTAATTGATTAGAGAAGTCAAATTCAGGAATAATATATAAATCTTAATGTTACACTGAAAAGCTCACATGATCTATTTCATGTTGTTCCCATGCATTGATTTAGTCAAGAACTCACGCATATCTAAATGTCAGGCATATAAACAACCCAAACCTCCCTTGTTTACATCACCTCCTTCACTTTATGAGTAAACAATAATTTAGAGAGTATTTACCCTGCTCTTTGACCCACCCTTTGCAGTCACCCCCTCTGCTTCACCGCCCACTCAACCTCCAATGTCTTTGGAGTCATCAGTAATATGAAAAAAGCCTAAACAGCTTTGGGAAGGCACTGAGGCTGAGCAGAAGAGAAGCATTAAGCACACACGTGCACGCTGGTGGAAGGATCTGTTACATTGCAAAAATTAGTTGAAGGCACAGAGTGACCACACTCCTGTCTGAAAGGAAGAAAGCTGAAAGCACTGAGGACTGGGAGCAGGTAGGTGGCCCTCAAAATGAAGGCTGCACTGAAATGAGCAGGAAAAAAAGGACTAGGAACAATTTATTTATGTTTCCACCTGCTAGCATAACCTAGATAAATGCAGTAAGATTTGATCAAAAAGGTGGCAGTACTTGTTGCACAAAAGGTGCGAACAAATACACAAAAAAATACCTGCTTCTGCATGCAACTGCAGAAAAAAATTCCTCCTTTGCTGTTAAGCTTGCTTTTGCAATGTAATTGAAATGTATTATATTGTGGCATATAGTTTTAGCTGCTCAAATTACGCAGTGTGTCACCGCATTAATAATTAAGGCATATTGTAAATGTTGCACACATTTTTTTACAAACAGGACATGGATTTGCCCATAGAGCATGAAATCACCTTTGCAAGGCATGTGTCTTCTCACTTTTATTTTATATAAATCTAAGAAGCTGGATCATAGCTGTAGGGTCAGAGCTGTGGGTCTGTCAGGTGATAACTAACTTTAGAACTTAAGATGGAGGTAGCAAATCAATATGTAACCTGAGATTTAGGAACCTGCAAGGAGAGAGTGGGTTGTAGTTTGGCAGAATATTTTTTCTACATTTAAAAACTCTGCTAATGATGTTCCTGCTCTGTATTGTGCACACATGAATGCATGTTTAGACTGTAGTTATGGAAAAAAATAATTTTTTTTAAGATGAAATTAGGAAAGCTAAAATAAAGAATCTAGAAAAATCACAAAATGCACAGCTCAGCATTTTGAAGTATTCTTGTTATAAATGGTACAAGCATCAAATTGTCAAAAACTGAGAACATAAGCAAATCCACTGGGAAGTTCATGTAACACCATTAGCACTTATTCAACACCAAAAGGCCGTGTCATCAAGCCCGGTTTTGTGTGAGTTACACTGCTGAAGCCGTTTTCTGTCTTGTTCGGTCAGCTGCAGTCCGTGTTGTGTGGAAAACGGCAGTGAGCGACATTTGAGAAGTTACAGGATGCCATTTTCAGAGTATGTGGTCAGTGCTGCAATCATCTGCAGTGGGTTAAAAACTCTGAAACATGTCACGTACTAAGACTGGAGACAATTCAGACCGAGTTCTTCAGTAGCATCAGGGTCTTTAATGCAAACTTCTCTTTCTTAAATGTTGTATCTCGTTTTGAAGGCAAAGTTATTCAATTAATTATTATATTATTATTATTATTATTATTATTAAGTGAGTTATTGAATGAATGAATTCAGTGTTGTCAACAATAAAATAATGTAACCCTATGTGAAAAGTTGTTTCCTAAATGTTATGCTTTGTAGGCCTACTTGTGTGAGTCACATATATACAGTAAAGTACAAATGCCATTTCTGATTTTTTTCATGTTTTGCTTCCACAGACAGACAGACAGACAAACAGACAGACAGACAGACAGACAGACAGAGAGTGTATGTGAGAGAAAGACTAAGAGTGAGAGAGTGAGAGTGTCAAAGTGGGAGTCCCTGGGTTGTGGAGAATGGCAGGGCTAAGGTATTGTTAGACTTCCAGATCCAAACCAACAAGCGAGACAACCAGAGTCAACAAGCTACAGAAGAAGGCAGTGGTGATAAATGCAGCAATCCCACGTGACTGTAACATTAGGACGAGGGAACATGAGAAGCTGGAGCAATGCCAACAGCTGAAAAAGAAATAGAGAAGTTGTGGAGAGTCAAGGCGTCAGTCGTCCCAGTGGTCATTGTAGCGCTCAATGCCGTGACCCTCAAACTGGAAGAGTGGCTCCAACAGATCCCAGGAACAACCTCAGAGATCTCTGTCTAGAAGAGTACAGTCCTAGCAGCACCTAAGATACTGAGCAGAACCCTCACGTTTAGTGCAGTGGAACCGCCCCATCCATCCATCCATACAGACAGACAGACACAGACATATGCATATATGTATCAATCTAACTAAAGGTAATTGGACATGGTACACCCTAGTACAAACTCACACAAGAGCAATATTTTAAAAGTAAACAAACTGGGATGACAATTGGCTCACTAGGGAATGGTGGTTCAGAGGTTAGAGAAGGTGGTTCTGTGATCGGAAGGTCGACGGTTCAACTCCCTGTGCCAACAACATCAAAATGTGGATGGCACCACTCACATTTTGACCCACACCCATCTCCACCCTCACCTGCCCCAAGCTTCTCATTGGCTGTTGGAATCAGGTGTAGCAGCTGAGCCACTCATTTATTCACACTAATTGATTGTGTCCAGATTTGGCTTCATACATTCTAACATTTTTAATTGACTGTGGCTATGACAGGGTAGGTGGTGGTTTCCCTTACACACATGCAGATGTTACGTCTTTAGTGTGTGTGTGTGGGGGACGGGGGGTGGGGGGGGGGGGGGTGTAGAGGTAGGGCAGCCAACCTGGTACCAGAAAGCGTCGGCTCAACTCCTCGCCATGCCCAAATCCCTAATTGCTCCCTGGGTGCCTACATAGCTGCCCACTGCTCCACCTGGGTGCATCTCATGTTTGATGAATTAAATGCAGAGAACTAATTTCATCACTGTATGGGAATGTACAACAATGACAACACATAGCACTTACCGTACTTACTTTCTTTATCCATAGCACAATAACAATTTTTTGTGACAACTAGCCATGCCGACTGTCCCCAACTCATGCAGATGGAGCAGACTTTGTTCCACTGGGAATCATGGGTAAAATCTGGCAGAAATTGAGTTGTGAATCCTAAGCATGTTGAGCTATTAGCTGAGGATCTGGCATGTCTTGGTATGGTGGAAAGAGTGATCATAGAAAGTAAAGACAATGGTCATGAAAGGGACCAAAGAATTAGTAGCACATTTAAATACAGACAAAATAATCCAAAAGCAGGTGAACATCAGAAAGACAAGTACACAAGTCTGAAACAAATGCATTTATTGTGGACTAGGTTTATATGATAAATTAGTGCAGAGCAAAAGAGGCTGTTAAAAAAGTAATTTAAAAAAGAAAACTTAAGATATGCACAACTGCAAAAGAACACAACATAAATTAACTAGCATTAGATTTTGTGCGGGGGCAGCACGGTGGCGCAACTGGTAGAGCTGCTGCCTCTCAGCGAGCAGGTCCTTGGTTCAAACCCCGGTCCAGGGGCCTTTCTGGGTGGAGTTTGCATGTTCTCTCCGTGCATACATGGGTTTTCTCCGGGTACTCCGGTTTCCTCCCACAGTCCAAAAACATGCATGTTAGGCTGATTGGTGACTCTAAATTGTCCCTAGGTGTGAGTGATAGAGTGAATGCTTGTTTGTCTTGTTTGTCTCTATGTGGCCCTGTGATGGACTTGCGACCCGTCCAGGGTGTACCCCGCCCCTCGCACAGTGATTGCTGGACATGGGCACCAGCGACCCCCGTGACCCAAAATGGAATAAGCGGGTAAAGAAAATGGATGGATGGATGGATGGATAGATTTTGTGCATAATTTACATCAAATTTGTTATTTTTTTCCCAAAATTGTTGTCAATACAAAGCATGGCGGGAAACAAGTACTATTGACTCAGTCATGGTGTGGGGGTGCATTTTAAAGTATTTTAGGACATCTTGTCAAAACTGAATATTATAAGATTCCCATTTTAAAACTAAAACTAAATATAGTATGGACAGAAAGAAATGAGATGGACAACATCTCATTTATTTTCAGTGAGAATGAACTAAAACGGTGTGGATTAAAAAAACAAAAAAACAAATGATCCCTTTCAGGCTTGGGTTGGTCCGCCTGAAGCCCAGACACTGAAAAAGAAACAGTGTAAACTCAGAAGAATCTGAGTACAGATCAAAAGACAAGAACCATTAAAGATGTGACGTTTTAATATCCTTCAAGAACTCCACATACATTTCTAATGACTGCTTTTAAAAATTTACAAAACATTTAATTTAATTTAACAAACATTTAAATCATATCTTTTTCAAAAAGTACAAACTTTTTCACTTTCAGTTTGCATTGCCGTTTATGTTCAGATTTGTCAATAAATTGCTGCATCCATTTGTTTTATTTTCTAATCAAAACGTGAAATTAAAAAAGGCAGCTCAAAAAAAATGTTTTCACAGTGATTTCTAATCATGTTAGTGACTGCAAAAATGTAGTCTGAGCAAAATGCTATAAGTGGTCCACCATCTCAGCAAACCCATCTTATTTTAATCTTAGCGACGTGTCATACAGCCTGGAGTGACAACCTGCTTTTACATTTAATAGTTTTATGTAATGACATTATGAAGAATTTCTTTTTTTTCTTAAAGCACGACATCTCCACTGAAATGTCGCCTGCAGCACAAATCTCAGAGTGACAGAGGCAGATGTGCGAGGTGTATTAAAAGCTATTTTGTCTTCAGTACCTCTCCCCCACATGTCAAAATTCATTAAATTGCTGAGCCAAAGCCAAACATTAAAGTCAACATGTAATGAGCTAAAACAGTAAAACTGTTCACTGAATGCAAAGTGGAATGGGTTTTCTTTAATGCATGGAATCACTAGCCAAGACATCAGTTGCAGATGGTTTTGCTCTTACTATATGTGTTGCAGGGTCTTTTTTCAAGAACCAAGATTTCTGTAAGAGCCCAGAACCTTTTGAAACATATGCTGAACATGAGCAGAACATGAGAAAAATAATAATAAAATCCAAGCTTGATTTGATGTTTCAAAAAACTTCAGTGACACATTTAATTTATAAGAAAACATTCTGATATTTAGAAAAAAACTGACAATCTGCATAGTTTTAGGATTAAATGTATTTTATTCAAATAATCTTTTAAAGTGACTTTATTTATCACATATAATTCAAACACTAAACAGGCAGAAAATGTAGAAGATTTTTATCTATTTTAACAAATTAACACATGCAAGTTTAGAAATCACAAAAGTAGTTGAGTTTATTTTTGCAAAGTATACATCAAGTTATGCTAGGTGCCGTTAATAAACTGTTAGTGACTCTACAGCAGAGCAAAAACAAAACTCACCCGTTATCCTTCTGAACACTTGTGATCTGAAGCGAAGGAATAATGATGATAAAATTAAATTCCCCTTCATAGCCACACCTACTGCAAACTCCTACCCAATGAGGAATTTAAGAGCTTTTAATATGAGATGCTGTAGATCGAGTTTTACAGGAACAAACTAGAGTAATGGCTTAAAGAATATGGCATTTTCATAAGTATGCAGATCTGTGACTCAAATAGCAGTAAGGAGTCATATCAGTAGGAGTCAAGAAAGTGCATGGAAGAGCCTGACAAGACAAAATTTAGTTCCTGACATTTTACCCAGTTACAAATATAAGCAGAGTATATGAAACACATTTTAAGGTCTAGTAAAACTCCACCACCATCCATCAGAGTGATGCAGGAGAGATATCATTGAGGGAGAGATGGTACAACCCTTATGGGGTGGCCAGTCCATCACAGATCACCTTCAAAAACTGTGATGAAGATGGCTGCTCTACGTGACCTGATAGTTATACTAGATGCAAAATGGCATCACTAGTCAGATCATGCGCTAACCAGACATTTAGTTAGAAGTGGAGTACATTTCCCAAATTTCAATAAACGTAACTGTTTTATCTAAATGTGTATGCAAAAGTGTGTCACGTGATAAATAAAATATAATTATTATTGTCTCTATAGCTATGTTTACATGGACATAAGTAAGCAGATTAAACGGTCATTCAGAATAAATATGTGTCATTTAAACGTCCCATTCGTATTATTTTTGTTGATTCAGCTCAATCTGAAAGAATTTGTAATCTGAATGAGAGGGGTGGTTTATGCCAATTCATAATCCAAACAGTGTGCATGTAAACACTTAATCTGTTCATTTTATTCCAATGGTGGAAAACTGACCTGTCTGTGCATGTGTGACCTGTCTACTTGATGTATTTCTACCTGGCTAATGCTAATAATATTAGCATGTTGGGGAAGCAAAACTGGTCGTGACACAACATTTCTACTAGAAACTTTGAATGAGATCAAAATTATCTGTATTATCTGTAGCTCAATCAGGGAGTGCAGTAACGTCTCCACCATCATTAAAACCTGTCGCGGGTCCATTTTGGGCGCTCAGGTTTGTTTACGTTCATCTCAGAAGTAAACTGGAAGTAGAACTTCTTCTTCTGTTTTTTTTTTTTTTTTAAGCATTTCGAAAATCAGATTTATTTTTCATTATAATTTGAAGTGGAAATCCAGCCCATCCATTTGTGTTACGTCATGAGATCTATTTAAAATTTAGTCAAAGAAACAAAGATTCCTGCAGCAGGAAGTATTGTATTTATATTTTCCAAATCTGGCGTCACACAGTTTGAGATTACAGGAAACAGAAACCACTCAGACAAAATTGTGTGTTCTGCACAACACCTGAAACAATCAAACTCCAAAATGCTGAGGTTGTATTTGTCAAAGGCATCAAACTTTCTTACATTTAGAGCCTAAACTTTTGCACGGTGCTGTTAAGCCTTAAATTACGGACAATGTGCAGGTACAGCAGGCTGCTGGGTGCAGTATTTTAATACTAAGCCCACCTTTTCCTCCAGTTTATTTAAAGCTTCACAGTAAGTTGCCATGTGTGCTTAATTTATACATACCTATGGATGATTCAGGGGACAGGAATCCAGATCAAGTTAAAACCAATGGTTACTGGAAATGACACTGACTGCTGCCTCTTACTGACCAGTCAGAGTAACTGCAGAGGTAGAGAGGAACAGTGTGACTAAATAAAACCACCTGCACAATGCAGGTTTGAGAAATACCTCTAAGGTTTTTGATATTACTGTGGAAATATTTAGCTATCTGCTTAAATTTTCAAAAAAGGTTGAACTAATAAAATATAACTTATTCCTAAATTAGGACAATTACATGAAACTCAAGGGAATATCAGCCAAGCATATATAAAGTGCTACATTTTTTAAAGTTTCATATCCTGTCTATTTTTGCAGAACCTTCTGAACCAGCAGACAAGACGAACTAGAGATGTCAGCGAAGACAACGGAAGCTGAGCCGACTGCCACTGGGCAGGCAGGTAAGTGGGGAAGTCGGTCAACGGTTGGTATTCCATCTGCCTGTACTGGTCTTTTACTTTGTTCCAGAAGTGGTTTTCATCAGGATTTAGTTGAGATATAGTGTAGAGACAAACTCTTGACAAAGTCCAGTGTCACGCAAAAATCTACACAGCATGGGAGCATGTGACAAGGAATGCAACAACACTGATGCACAACGATCATCTTTAAAGATGCTGAACTGATGCATCTGATGAATACTGTTCAGGAAAATTTGACATCTGAACAGAATGAAGTACAAAACCACAAGAGGAGTCCAAATAAGCATTTTACAAAACTCTGCTATCATTTCAGATGTCAGAATCATCTGAAGGCCTTGTTTGTGTTTTTTCAATGCTCATAAAAGCAGCTACACCTTTAAAATAGCTGAGAATGCTGATGGTGTCACACTTCTTATTCTTAAGAACAGAGTCAAGATGAAAACATTGGAAAATCAAAGCAGAAGATCCAAATAAGCTCCATGAAGTGGACAAAACCACAGTGGAAAACTCTTTCTGAAGAGATTCAAAGATGAATTCAAATGAATAAATTCTGAGGATCCAGCGCATGGGACACGTGCAGCTGATGAGCACTGCAACACAAACTTGAAAGTGTGAAGAGTGGGCAAAATAGAAAATGAAACATTCTTGTTTGAAAGAAGAAAAACTAATGTAAAAAAAAAACTGTTTTCCTACAAAACAGTTTTTTTCCTCAAGTATTTCCTGAATTCTCTCAAGCACCGTACAAGAGTCATCCTGAGATGTCTGCTTTGAGAAAATGTGAAAGCAAGCTTTGCGTTGAGTCTCAACAGCTGCCATCTCTTTCTAAACTGCTGCAGCGACTCAGTGCTAACATGATGTATTATATTTTGTCTTTCACTAACATTTGTTGTCAATGTTTTTTAAAGTATTTGTTCTGCACATTTCTGTTCGTGTTTGTCCACCCCGCTCTTGGGGTATTTGCTGTATATTGTGTTTTGTGTCCATAATCCTGTCAAAGTTCCAATCTGCCATGGTGCTTTTGTCAGGATTAACATTCACCTGTCCTGTGCCCTCTCCTGGTGTCATGTTACGTGTTAAACCGACGGTTCTGAGGGAGTTCACCCCAGCGACAAAGGTATGCGTCCAGCAAAAGAAAACCAAATCACGCAAACGATTTAGTTTTGTATACATGCATGATGCCTTGATGGGTTCAATTGGATGCATGATGTGATCTTCATCGCTTCTTGAAAGGTGTCATCCAGACAGACGATGCAGCTTTCAGTGTCACAACGGATGCAATTTGTTGAGACATTTCATCAACCTCCATTTTGTATGAATACTATGTGCTGTTGCTAGAGGGCACTGGGAATGATTGCCAAATGTCTACTTTAGCTGGCACTTAGGATGGAAAATGCCACTTTTTACAAATAAGTGCAAAAGATTTGCTCTATACAAGATGAAACCACAGATAAATCTCAACAAGTGAACTTGCTCCACCAAAACTGCTGTTTATAGATAGTATTTTTGAAATGCAAATATAAAAAAAGCCTGAAACAGAACTAACTTTTAAGTTTGAGTTTTACACAGTTTAAACTTGGTAAGGGAAATAAATTAACAATAATTTATATATGAGTTTTATGTTTTCACAAAGATTACCAGGAGAACAGTCACATTTTTACATTTAGTTCTATTTTTCCTGAGGTTTGACCTTTTCATGCTTTCTTGCATGTAGCTGTCACAAAATTGCAACGCATGAGATCCAGAAAGTGCGCTAAGAGAACCACGTCTGTCATAACACAGAACGTTAAGGTCTCAAGATAACCAGCTTGAAAAACACACAGCACCTTCTGATCAAGCCTATGATAAGTTCTCTGGAAGAACACAAGTACACTTGGGGCGGCTGTGGCTGAGTGGTTAGAGCAGTCGTCCTCCAATGCAAGAGTTGGGGGTTCGAATCCACCAGCAGTCACATGTCGAAGTGTCCCTGGGCAAGATACTGAGCCCCTCATTGCCTCTGATGTGTGTCCCATCAGTTTATGAATGTGATAAAAGCTGTGATAAGTCTCTTTAGAATGATTTGTTCAATTAGCTTTGTAGAGATCTAGTAGAGAGCCGTATGAATGGGTAAATGAGGACACAGATTGTAGTGTGAAGCACTTTGAGTATCTGGATAAGATAGAAAGGCGGAATATAAGTACAGTTCATTTACCATTTACACAAAGCTCTAAAGGAGGCAAACAGGAACATATAAAATAAAAAATAAGATGTGTCCTTTTTAACACAACTATAAACCTTATCAAGGATAATTTTGTATTTGTATTAAATCTTGAGATTTATGCACAGTCACTAAGTCACCGAGGAACAGGGGTTTGTTCTGAATCGCAAACATAAAAGTCTCTGATAAATGATGAGATAAAATAAACTGGTTTCATAAAAACCTGAATTAGTTCATTTTTTATTATATTTACTATGTATTAGATGAAGTCATAAAAAACTATAATCTGTAGAAATGAATTTCTACAGTTCTAAACAAATTGACAATTCATGTGTAAAATAATCCACAATTTTATTATTAAAAGTTCATCATTATCTAAAGTTAATATTTTCTTGATAATGAAAAAAAAAGTAGTCATCAGCATAAGTGAACTCACTTTCTGGTTATGAGTGAAATATTTTGTAATTACAAAAACAAGCAAACAAACAAAAATACAACAACAACAGGGTTTCATGTTGCTGTAGCTGTACGCACCCTGCCAACCTGTAAAGGAGACATGTTGACAAGCGAAGCTGCAGATTTAAGCTGAAAATGTCAGCTGACAAACAGGAGTTCCCTGATGTCGGTGGAAATTACTTTGGCAGCATCTGGGAATTGGTGACCTCTGAACTTCAAACAATATGACAATGATGAAATAACTTATATTCAGCAAACAATAAACACTGGTTTTTCCTGTTTGGTTATAAGTATAATCTCCAAAGCACTTATAAATTCTTATAACATGCTGATAAATTAAGAGCTATCAATGTTATCAGTCTCAAGATCAAAATATATACTTAATGTGCGTTAGATCTGAAGCTAAACACACTTTTTATTATCTCACAGTGAATGTGTAACAAACGTTTATACCCAACACACATTACTGTAGAAAAAATAACCGAGAGCTTAACAGTTGCCACGACAATTACAAAGTGAAAAGAATGCATAAGAACTGAAGACTTCTCTCTGTTCTCTGCGGTCACTGTGTGTGTGTGTGTGGGGGGGGGGGGGGGGGGGGCACACCCTGGACAGGATCTCAAGTGTCCATCACAAAACACATAGAGACAAACAACCAGTCACTCTCTCACACCTAGAGACAGCTTGGTGTTACCAATTTATCAAACATGCATGTTCAATTTTGTATAGGCTTCGCCCTTTAAGGCTGTCGCTTGTGGGTTTTATCCCATCACACAAAGCATCGCACTGAAAAATTTATTCCACGCCCACCTGTCGTGTGGGCCCCACCCAGTCCATATAAACTACGTTGAGAGCAGGTAATCGGCTCCCATTTTTCTTCAGCAAGCAACTAGCACTGATCTTCCAACAATAGCACCAACACCATCCGCCTGTGCCCATCCTGCAAGACCGGCTACCTGCTAAGCTTTGACCGGCACGACACCTGCGAAGGATGCCTAGGTCCCCGCCACGCCGACCTTGCCTCCTCCTGCCGCCTCTGTGACCTCCTCCCCCCTGAAGAGAGGCAGAGGCGAGCAGCCTTGTTTAAGGCTAACATCGAGGAGTGCCTCTCCGTGGTGGGGGACTTTTTGCTGACGACACCATCAACTTTTTTTGACGCCGGGTCTCTGAGCGAATCAGATGGTTCCACCGGGACAAGCGACGTCAGCAGCAGCCCCACTGCTCATTCTCTCCCGGAGAGCGTAGTGTTGGAACGGGAGGGGCCGAGCGGATGCTCACCCCTCCCGAGCCTTTCCGCATCAGCGACCACACCGCTCCCAGCCGTCAGTGCCCTCCTCTCGGAGCTGCCCGGCATAATCCAGGAGGCGGCTGACACGAAGGGACTTTCCGTCCCTCTCCTCCCCCCGCCCAGATCAGATGATCTAGCGGGAAGGTTTGGCTCCACCCCGGCTCGTCGCCCTGACCCCATCTGGCCTCGTTTCCCAGCAGTGGCGTCCTACTGGAACAAGGCTGCAGCCGGACCAGGTAAATTGAGAGTGCCCGTCTCCACCTTTGCGCCCATCACCAGAGTGGAAGGGTTGACTGAGCGGAATTTTCCCTCGGTACCCCAACTCCTCCCCCCCCCCCCCCCCCCCCGGAGTCAAGCCTGGCGGAAGCTCTCGGAGCAAAAGTGTCCAGGTTGGACCAGCATCCAGTTCCTCCAGGAATGCACGACCAGACAGTGACGTCACTCTACAACCAAGCTCAGCAGTGTGCGTTCCAGGCAGCTGCAGCAAACAACATTGTCGCTCTGCTGGCCTACAGCATCTCAAAGAGGCTGGAGGAAACAGACCTGCCTGAGGAGACAAAGAGCTCACTCTGCAAGGCATCTGACATCATCCTCAACCTGTGCGCCTCCTCTGTTGTCTGCCTGTCTCACATCGCCGCCTAGATGACAATGATCCAAAGGTCCACCTGGCTTCGACACTCTCCCTCCCTGCCGGAGAAACTGCAGAAGGACCTGCAGGAGGGCCCCATCACAACGGGCGCACTGTTCAGAGCCAATTTCAAGGACATGCTCCGCTGCCAGCCGCTCCCGCCAGAGAACAGTCCTTCTAATCCTGGCAACCAGCGGCTCAGCGTTTCCCCAGAGATCGCCAACAGGCGCCACCCTGGAACAACCAGCTTCAGGGTTCACGGGGGAGAAGTTTAAGAAATGACTCCTTGCGGAGGATGTGTGTGTGCATAATGATGACTTGAGTTTTGAAATAAAACGAGAACATCATTCAGTGAATAAAGTGTCTGATTTCAGCCTGACTGTCAGTTCGAATGATCTCACAGCGGCTTCTCTGTA